GTGTTGTAGTTTGTCTCGCTCCTGATGTGTGTGTGTGTGTGTGTGTGTGTCTCAGGTGTGTTACCGTATCCTCATGCAGCTGTGTGGTCAGTACGGTCAGCCGGTTCTCGCGGTCAGAGTTCTGCTGGAGATGAAGCGGGCGGGAATAACGCCCAACACCATCACATACGGATACTACAATAAAGTGACATATTTCATACTCATACAGGGCTTCCCGAACTGGGGTTTATGAGTTGATGAAAAGCAGATAATTCAATTAATTATCAAAATGAATAATATAATAAATAATAATAATAAACAACATAAAACAATAAATAATAAATAATAAAACAAATCATTTTAAAAGAATCAAAAGCAATAAAATAATTAATTAATCATAAATATGTAAAATTAAAATATGTAAATAATTTGAAAAAAAAAAAGATCAAAAACATTTACTAAAAATGAAATGAAAATGTAAAATTAAAATAATTAATTTGTTTTTTAATTACTAAAATTAAATAATTATCTAAAAATCTAAAATTATGATAAATTATTTTAAATGAAAAACAATAAAAAATATTACACTCTTTTTTAATCACAAAAATGTAATATTAAAAATAAATAATTTAATAATAAAAACAAAGCATTTACTATAATTAAATCATAAAAATGTAAAAATAAAACAAATAAATAATTTACAAATAAAAACAATAAAAAAACACTTACAAAAAAATTGAATAAATAAGTAATGTAAAAATAAAAGCCAACAAAAATATTTACTAAAATGTTTTAAGTCATAAAAATATAAAATTAAAATAATTTAATAATAAAAAAACCCACTAAATATTAAATCATAAAAATGTTAAATTGAAATACATAAACAGTTTAAAAATAAGAAACACCAAAATCGTTTACTAAATTAATTAAATTATACAAATGTAAAATTAACAAATATATAATTTAAAAATAAAAACACCCAAAAAACTTACACTTACCAAAATTAATTAAATCATAAAAATGTGAAATTAAGATAAATCTTTTAAAAATAAAAACAAAGTAAAACATTTACTAAAACTATGTTTAGCTGCATGTCCTCAAGAGAACCATGAACGAATGTGAATGTGTTGTTAAATTATTGAAATATGAACTTAAAATCTTAGGGAGTCTTCAAGGAGATGCTTAAGCTCAAAGAGGTTCGGCTGATGGAAGAGTTTGGGAATCCCTGATATAACGTACAGATGAATGTCTTGTCTTTACTCGTGTGTGTGTGTTTTATTCTGCCGTCTGTAGGCGGTGCTAGAGAGCAAATGGCCATCCACCAATCAGGGAGGGCGTCTTCGCTGGGCGAAGCTTCGTAACGTGGTATTGGCCGTGGCTCACTTCAGGCAGCCAATCAAACAGCAGCAGAGGAGTGCATCATTCAGCACCCCCGCAGGTCAGAGACGCCCCGCCTCCGGCGCGTGATTGACAGCCGACAGCAGCGTCACATTCTCACATTCTGCTCCTGTTTTTAGGAGACGTGCTGTCCAAGCCCCGCCCCCACTCTGCTCTGATTCGTCAGTCCAGCTGGAGCGGGTTGAGTGACAGCTCGAGCCACGAATCGCTGACGAGTCTGGCCAAGAGTAACAGTCTGAGCAGCGTTCAGGCGTCAGGAGGCAGTGAGTGACTGATAATCCAGACTCGCGTCTGATCGTCCTGTTTCTGACGTCTAATTTCAGTCGTTGTATTTATCAGAGGTGAAGCTGTCAAAGCAAGCAGCTGCGCAGACGGCCGCAGCCGGTGCAGACGCAGCCTCACGCAAGCCTGAAGCTGTTAAAGAAAGCAGCTGCGCAGACGGCCGCAGCCTCGCACAAGCCTCCCGCCGGCCGCCGCAACACGCTGAGTCCTCCGGCGCCTGTGCTTGTGCGCCGCAGCGACGTCTGCCTGTCCACCTTCTACAGAGACTGCGCAGAGAACGCAGACGCAGACTGCAGGTGTCAGCCGGAGAGGGACAGCAGGTACACACACAGACAAAACAAGCATAAATGAGAAATCAAGATTTTTTTTTCACCCCTTCAACAACTATCTGATTAAAATAACATTTTATTATTTAAAAAGTTATATTTTTAATATATATAATTATGTATCAAATTATAATT